CCAAGGCGCTAACTTCTTGGACCCCAAGGCCCTAAAGAAGGGTCCCGTCCCAACAGTTTGTGTTTCCAGCCTACGGGCCCGGCGCCGCGAGCCGCTGCTGCGGTACAGTCGGCGATGTGGAGAACCTGGAGCTACCCCGGTCCGGTCCCTCGGAACTGGCTAGCAGATCGCAGCGGCAAGTACAGGAGCTCCTCCATCCTATTCGCTACTACTTGCTACTACAGTTATTTGGTCTGCAGCTGCACCACCACGACGACGACGACTGCTACCAAGATACTGTTAGATCTGCTGCTGCTGCTGCTGCTGCTGCTGCTGCTTCTACTAATACTGCCACTCCTCTTGCCGTTTTTCAAGACGGTGCCGAAGAAAATTACAGCAGTAACTTTTAAGGAACTTTAAGGCAAGGGCCCTGTGAGGAAGGAACATCCCTATCACTTTGACGAGAACAAACTTCCACAGGAAGCCCAGTACTCTTGGCCAAGACACCGGAAGATCCGGAAATCGTTCACGTACAAGGCCTTGCACAATGGAACACTAGACCAGGCTGCTTGGGGCCATTCTTGCAGAACTACCATTGGCCACCGAGCAAAGCACCCTCCAACCCTGCAGAGGCTCCCAAGACAATAAATGCCCAAAGCCAGATTCGCAGGTGAAGTGAGACCGAAAGAGGCCGAAATAGGACGAGGGGCCCACGCAAATGTGCGCTGTGTTGGAAGCGATCACCAGGAAGTCAACCCCTGCCCGATGCAGCTTGGCCACGCCATTGGCCAAGTAGTCCTCTCGGGGGGCATATGGGGTCTTGGGGGGAGGGGGAAGGGGGTGCGGGGCGGGACAGGGTGGGGTCAAAATCCTACCATCTCGCTCCTGCACGCCCTCCGAGTCCTTCGCTGTCAACAACCGCACATACTCGTCACCTGGGCGCATGTCTCAAGGAATTGATGTTTCTCACTCGGATATCAGTACACGAGCATGTGCTACCACCCAATGCAAAAAGGTAATGTTGGTCTGGAAGCGACAAACAACATCATCAGCGCACAGTGCTTCGCTTGGCACGTCGCAGAACACAAGATATTCCAACTGGGCGAGTCAGTCACGACTCACAAGTCTTGCGAGCGCAAGAAGCTTTGCTGCGTCATGGATTCAACAGGGCCACCATGGAAAACGGGAAGTTACAGAGACAGAGTATTACAGATTTTGAGCAGCCAAAAAAAATCCAAGTCCAGATTAATTAGCTAGCTGGAAATCAGAATTAGCAAGAGGGGCATGCTGGAAAGCGCTGGCAGTAGTCTCTCGTGAGCGATCAGTGCCACCCGCACTGACAACCAGCCCTCGCACGTGATTGCTGCATTCAGACCTCGTTCTGTCGTACGGCGGACCACAGAGCTTGAGCTCTGGGACTGGGGTCTGAGCGTGCTGCTGGGTCTGCTGGCTTGCGCGCGCTTGGGCGAAGATTGCACTGCAGTCCGGTCATGGAAGCCTGTCACCGGCTCACCGAGGCAGCCGAGGCCGAGGCAGTCAACGGATACGATGACCATGTCAGAGTTTTTTGCCATGATGTGGCCATTCGGCAGCAACTTCGCGATGCGCTCATTGATCCCTGGAACACAAGAGACATCTGAAGTGTCGCTTGAGTCGAGTGAGGCTCTGCCTCTGTAGTAGTCGATGCCAGAC